CATTGAAAATAGGATTTCAAAATTGGAATGTGCACATGTGTCCTTCATAATGCCGGTGATCTTCCGGGCATGCTCCTCAACACCCATGTTGTCCATCTCACGGCATGTCAATTCCAGACCCCGCTCGATTGCCGCTTGGTATGCCTCCCTCTTGCTAAAGTCACTGAATTCAGATACACTGAATTTGTCATTGGTCTCCCTTGATATGCATGGCGCATTCAATTTCTTGTAAAGATTGGTCAGGTTGACTTTAGCGAGGACAAGGCGGTGGTCACTCCCCATCTTTGTCCCCGCATATGACCTCGCATCTTCCACCACAGAACGCTCACTATTTCGACAGAATATATAATCGATCTGGTTGTATATGGGTATTGCTGAACCACCGTCTGGGTTGTGACGCCATCCTGTCCATGTTGTGATATGTGCCGCACGGTGTTGGAATGCAGTGTTGCAAGCAAACAGGTGGTTGTCCGACGCAAAGTCAGTCAGAACCTGTCCACTGTAATTGCGGCGGCCTCTTGAATGTGCTCCGCAGCACGACAAATCATGTCTCCCCGTAGCTGTAACGGAACGTTTTCCAACTTTTGCATTGTAATCACCTATCACGAAAAGCATGGCTGATGATCGAAGCTTCTGAATTGTCTCCAATAAACTGTTGTAGAATTCATCCAGACAGGCAGGGTCCTCCGCAACACGATACAATACAATAATACCAAAATGTCCTTACCTTGATAGTGTGCTTGTGCTTAACTGTTGCTGACGGCCGAATGCATGGTTGCCTGTGGAGCACATTACATAACTTTACAGTCTCCTATAATACGCATCCTGTCCGACGGCAAAAGAGGCTGCAGATTTAGTTTTTCTGCTCGGGATAATGCTCGGGATAGCACTCGCTACAGATCTTCGCAAACTTGTCCAGACTATCACTCACATTAAGACTGCTGCAATGTTCATCGTTCCCAAGCGCTTTAAGTGGTCGTTGGTGGTTCCCACAATTTCATCTTACTGAAGTACGACATGCCATACGACATCTTTCTACCAAACAACACCGTATTGATGTCTGGCGCTGTCGCCTTCATCTCTGCTGATCTGGTACGGGTGTAATCTAGTGACTTCGTACATTCATTATAACAGGAGTACCGGTACGAGGTGATTTGGCTTTTTTTAACATGGTTGTAAAAATTAATGACGTTTTTTCAGCCACTTCTAGGCACGCTACGTCCAAATAAATTGTTGCAAGTGGAAGTGCTATCCTTCATGCCTGTTGTCTCAAAAATGGGAATGATCCCACTTTGCAAAGTGTCTTGAATCATGTCCTTCTTTCATAGTATTCTCAGGGTTCAAATACTTGGTGTGTCATTTTTTAACAAATTCGTAAAATGGCATCACAAACTGCGATATTCGGTCATCAATGTTCAAAAGTTGATAGATATCACTTCAAGGATTGCTAGTGGATGAAAATGAATCTGTCAACTGCATTGTATGCTGCCGGAAAGCCGTGTTTTTGTATTTGTAACTAGTGGCTGTGTCATGGTAGAATTGGATAGGTAGCATAGCATCGCAGCCATGTTTTCGGCTTCACAGAGTGTATTCCGTGACCTACTGTTCTTCATTGTTGTCTTTGGTGCATATAATTAGTGCATATAATTTAATTCTTCCTGCCACGGCGGTATACCTATATCTTCCAAGTAATAGTTTCTTCACGATATGATCTTGCATTTGAAAGCCCTACTTTAATTTCGATTGTGGCCAGCTGTCTTTGATGATACGGGACGGGACAGGCACAGGATAGCGCCAGGCATGCCGACGGCACAAAAACACCTTGATGAAACGGGACTGCTGTGTGGACCCTGGCTAGCGACAGACGTAACTGAAGTAACGTATAACGTCTTCTGCAGAGCTACGGGAATAATTAATTTACTTTGCTCCAGAATTTAACGCGAAATCAAACCGTTCATGCTTCTTCACTGCTTGTTCGTCTAAAGTGTGATGCACGCAGTTTCCTCTGTTTCTCCATCTATCTGCATACCGGTATGTACACGCGCGTTTGTGTATCCATGGTGTGTGTTTTCTAGAACTTTATTAGGATGACCCAAAGGCGAATCGCCTATCGAGGGGTCCACCGCGTTGAATGGTTGTGGTGTGACAAAGCAAAGAGGCAATCGTTGTGTGTGTGGGGGGGGGGGGGAGGGTGGAGTTTCGAACTATGCACATACTTGCCACGAAACTTCTAAAATACGACTCTTTTTCGAAATGGGACCCCGCACTAACAGTGAAGGAATAATTGTATGTATATTACCAAGGATAAAGTATACCGGACAAAGTTGCCATTTTTGGGAGCAACGGATTGGGAAGTATAACAATATTGCCTAAGTCCGAATGAGCAACAGAAACCATCAAAAAGAAGGTATAAAGCAACAGCAAAAGAAGGTATTCGAGAAACACCCAATTTTCTAAAAACAAGAAAAAAGAAAGAGAAAAATAGTGAATGCAGTCTCACACATTGAAAAACATGAGATGGAAACCACTAAAAAGCCGCGATCTTAATAGACCCCACCCTAACATTTTTTTTACAGAATGCACCTCCTACTGATAGACCATAACAAAGAGAGGAGAAGAAGAAGACAAAAGAAAACAATGATCGAGACAACAAAGGAGAAAGACAGACAATGTACTAGTAGGGGCTCTCAGGGAGCCTGTGCCGGGGATGCGGGACTAGCAATGACGACCTAGGGTCTCGGCGTTAGCGCTATCCAGCGCACCATGGACGGGATTACGAAACGCATGTCAATAGATAAGTGAGGGGGAGGGAGTTGATTGTGGATATATGGGGTGCTACAGCGAGTCTGTAGCCCAATACCAGCGGCTTTGTCGTAGGTGCTGATACACCTTGCCCTTGAACGACTGGAGGGATGTCACGTCAGGCGTGGCGGAGACTGCAGCACAGTTGGGGGCAAGTTGTTCCACTCGTCAATGATGCTGTAGGGAAAGCAACGTCGCACGTAATCCGATGAGGAAGCTGGGAGGACGTTCTTTAGCTGAGACTCGTGGCGCATGGAGTGGTCGGACCGAGTTCGAGGATATGTTGGTGGAGGAAGCTGTGGGGGGACCAGCGATGATACTTGCGGTGGCCCTACCAGACACATCAGTTTATAACATGGATAAAGCACAGTCAGCACGTTTCCACTGTAAATCAAAGCAAACCACTCAACAAACAGCAAAACAAAAATAATAAAAATGGATTCGGTTTGAATAGTGAAACAATAAATAAAACAGTCCATGTGAAAAGATCTTTTTTGTTTCCTTGTTAGTAAGACGGAATGCCCAAAAATAATGAAATACAATACATGTACATAACAATACAATACAGTAGTTTTCGGTATTTTTTTTATATCCTCTCTCTTTTCTCTCACGCTATCTGGGCATCTCTATCGTTCTGTCCTTCTCTACTTCAGTTTCTACTTTCTATGTTAACTTTTTTAAGTATCTGATTCTGCCTCTTCCGATCCTACCGTTACAAGGAATGGGTTTGCTCCCTTCACTGGACACTGGTGCTACCGCTATTCCGCCTAGTTGACGCTTGACTGACTCACGACTGCCATCCAGACCACACGAGAAGTCCATCGAACCTTCGACGCGGCAAACCTGCTAGACAGCACCACTCCCTGCTCAATACACAGTGTTTCGGGGAGTTCACCCCACATCAGTTGAGCTTGAGTAGGCTGAAGAGCACCACATATTGCTATCCGGGCACAAACATCACCAGTGGTACAAACTCATAGAGACGCTCCGTTTCCAGCGCGACAAACACCTCGGGAATAGCACATAGCAGCGTGAGTCAGTGTCACTCCTGGACGGTGAGAACAGACGTCGAGGACTCTCGGTCACTCAGAATGTTGTCACCTTCAAATCGTCTAGTCGCAAGCCCGCGTTGGGCACAGCACCAAGTGTTGACAACAGTATCAAGTCAAGTCTGCGGAATAGCGCGCGCTCCTGCGTGGGGAGCAAACCCATTCCTAAAAATCATCCCCGAAATCCCAACCACTATTTCCTACTATCGTTACAAGCAGGTTTACTAAGACTTTATGGTACGTTTTTGCATCACTCCTCTCCCTATATCAACTGTGTTCTCTCGGTCATTCAACACCATTCCTGATCAAGGTTTGGACTTTCCCAAACATAAATTCCAGAATTCCTATCAAGTCTTGTTTCTGTAGTGCAGCGCAGAAATAACATCCACGTGGTTAGCCAGGGTGACCTGGACACCTTTTTTTATTTTTGAAATTGGTCTACTGCAAGCAATTGTGCTGAGAGGAATAACCAGGTCGTGACTGTGGATGGGTAGATCCAAGAGTACATAACCTGTACTCTTGGTAAATCCTACTTCACTCTGCAGCTTAGGTTCATAAAATCTAGGCAGACTTCGATAAGCAAAGCAATTTGTTGTCGCCATTAAAGTGGAACTGGCGTTACAAGTTTCGTGGATATTTGTTCTATGACTAATAATTATATTAGGAGAATGAAGTTGACACTGCAGCTGTACTTACGGTTGATAAATATGGTGTTAAAGACACACCTGGCAATATGGCGGTAAACACAGAGCAGCAGAGCCCTGTGCCAGAACTTTGCAGCTTGGAGAGCGTGTGTGGGCAGGCGTGTGTGCGGTTTACCGCCATATTGCCAGGTGTGTCTTTACCACCATATTTATCAACTAATGTTTTAGTGCCTGAAGGTGTCATCAATAACATCCAGTAAGAATGACACGTGTTATGCTACCCTGTATTACGAAATTATCACACTGGGCCCGGTTGCATTTCACGCCGTCAATTCTCACCACGGCATACCGCTCTGCGCAGTGTGTTTAGATAAAATCCTGGCCAAGCCTCGTGCTTCTTACATATCTACCACATGCAACCTAGCGAGAGAGTACCTCCTCAGATCTTCGCTTGCGACTTGCTTGCTATCAACGTTTCATGATGTTACTGAAACTACGTCGCCGTCTTCGCTGGCCGCGCCGGCGCACAGGATTCAGGCAGCGACAGTACGAATGGTGATGCCTCAGCAGAGACGATACAGTCATCCAGCCATCCGCAGGACTCCGGCACCGACAGTGGGACTGGCGACGCTTCAGCTGAGACGGTGCCTTCATCCAGACGACCGCAGGAATCAGACGGCAACAGAGATGATGCTTCAGTTGAGACGGTGCCATCATCCAGCCAACAGCAGGTATTTTTCGGAGCGGAGAGAAAGAAGAGGACGAGCAAGATTGGCCGCTCGGATCACGCCCGCCTACTCGTAGAAGAGAAGTGTCCTGTAACGGAGACCACTGGTGTCCAAGCCAGCTCAAAGGGTGGCTATTTCGTCTACCGGCTTCCCCCCTTGGACCTGGACGGCTGTCAGGGCACCGAGCCGGCTACTGAAGGACGAGTGGGCAATGACGCTCGTGGCACACCTGATAGCGGTGTGATTAGTAATCCATTGGAGACCAGCAATGTGTCCAGCTGTGAAGGCTCCATCACCGGGCCAGGGCCGGCTACTGAAGAAGGATTGGGCAATGACGCTCATAGCACATCTGATGGCGGGGAACATAGGGATTCATTGGAGACCAGCAATTTGTCAAGCTGTGAAGGCTCCATCACCGGGCCAGGGCCGGCTACTGAAGAACGAATGGGCAATGACGCTTATAGCACATCTGATGGCGGGGAACATAGTGATTCATTGGAGACCAGCAATTTGTCCAGCTGTGAAGGCTCCATCACCGGGCCAGGGCCGGCTACTGAAGAACGAGTGGGCAATGACGCTCATGGCACACCTGATGGCGGGGAGAGTGGGGAGGGTAGTGATTCATTGGAGACCAGCAATGTGTCCAGCTGTGAAGGCTCCATCACAGGGCTAGGGCCGGCAACTGAAGAACGAGTGGGCAATGACGCTCATGGCTCACCTGATGGCAGTGAACGTAGTGATTCATTCGAGACCAGCAATGCGTCCCACTGTGAAGGTTTGGAGTCCAAGCACGGTGATGGCGCTCAGGGCACACTTGAAAGCGGTCACAGTAGCAATTCATTGACGATGAGGGAGGTGTCCAGAGGAAAAGCTAATGAAGTCAGTCAAATTTATCTGGTGCCTTCGCCTGAGTGCTGTGAATCGACTGAGAGCCTAATTGGCGATCTCTACGCCACTGAAAACGTCCGGCCACTTTGGCGGTGTGCTCCGACATACGTAATCACCGATCTATTTGCCGATCAAGCGAACCAGCCGGCTGTTTTGTTCACTGCGGATGCAGCTCTGTTGTTCCTTCTTGTGGAGCAGTCTGAACTAATCGACAACGTGATGTACGACTGCAGAGAAGCCGGCCACTTTGGCGGTGTGCTCCGACCTACGTAATCACCGATCTATTTGCCGATCAAGCGAACCAGCCGGCTGTTTTTTTCACTGCGGATGCAGCTCTGTTGTTCCTTCTTGTGGAGCAGTCTGAACTAATCGACAACGTGATGTACGACTGCAGAGAAGCCATCACCGAGCTATATCGGCGATGGATCAGTATGGGACAAGTGCCACAGCTGGTGCGAGCCTCCGTTCTCGAGCGTGATGGCATCAGGGCCGTTGTTACGGCTACGGGGCGCGTATAACACATTCCAGGTGCTTTCGTCCAATTCTTCCTTATGGAAAATGAGGAGGTGTCTCTCTGCTGGAAAAGAGTTCGGTCAGAAATGTACTGTACCAGAATCGGTAATGTGCGATAATATCGGATGTACCAAGAACAAAGCTTGTTCTAAACAGTTTTGTCTTCAACAATGTACTATACATTCCTCTTTGCTTCGTGATGTACGACTGCAGAGAAGCATTCCAGGTGCGTTCGTACAATTCCATATGGAAAATGAGGAGGTGTCTCTTTGCTGGAAAACAGTTCGGTCAGAAATGTACTGTTCCAGAATCGGAGTAATGTGCGATAATATCGGATGTGCCAAGAACAAAGCTTGTTTTAAATAGTTTTGTCTTCATCAATGTACTATACATTCCTCTTTGCTTCGTGATGTACGACTGCAGAGAAGCATTCCAGGTGTGTTCGTACAATTCCATATGGAAAATGAGAAGGTGTCTCTTTGCTGGAAAACAGTTCGGTCAGAAATGTACTGTTCCAGAATCGGAGTAATGTGCGATAATATCGGATGTACCAAGAACAAAGCTTGCTCCAAACAGTTTTGTCTTCATCAATGTACTACACATTCCAGGTGCTTTCGTACAGTTCTTCCATGTGGAAAATGAAGAGGTGTCTCTTTGCTGGAAAACAGTTCGGTCAGAAATGTACTGTTCCAGAATCGGATTAATGTGCGATAATATCGCATGTACCAAGAACAAAGCTTGCTCCAAACAGTTTTGTCTTCATCAATGTACTACACATTCCAGGTGCTTTCGTACAATTCTTCCATGTGGAAAATGAGGAGGTGTCTCTTTGCTGGAAAATAGTTCGGTCAGAAATGTACTGTTCCAGAATCGGAGTAATGTGTGATAATATCGGATGTACCAAGAACAAAGCTTGCTCCAAACAGTTTTGTCTTCATCAATGTATTATACATTCCTCTTTGCTTCTAAAAATTCTTGTCCTCTGAAAACCCCTTTTCAATTGCTGTTGTCTTCCTTTCCTCGCCTGTCTCAGACAGACGGATGGACAGCGACATGGCCTATCTGTCTGTCTGTCTTTCTCTCTCCCTCGTCTATCTCTGTATGTCGCTGGCTGTGTCTCTCTATGTCTGTTTCCCTCTTTCTGTGTGTCTCTCACTGCTCATCTACATGACATGTATCTGGTTCGCTCTGCCTGTCTCTCACTGCCTGGCTCTGCCTGGCTCTGCCTGTCTCTGCCTGTCTCTCACTGCCTGGCTCTGCCTGTCTCTGCCTGTCTCTCACTGCCTGGCTCTGCCTGGCTCTGCCTGGCTCTGCCTGGCTCTGCCTGTCTCTCACTGCCTGGCTTTGCCTGGCTCTGCCTGGCTCTGCCTGTCTCTCACTGCTCATCTACATGACTGTATTATGTATCTAGGTTTTCCTGCTAATGACTGCATACATATCAATATGTTGATAGTCTATTACATGTATACGGCATATCTTGACGGTCTGTTCCCTATGACTGCATAGTTGGTATATACGTTCTTTTAACAGTTTCATTCACATGCATAGTAAACAGCAGCAAAGCATTTGAAATAAGATTTCAAAATTGGAATGTGCACATGTGTGCATGATAGTACTCAAATTGCCTTTCTTGCTACCTAGTGTGCTCTCACTGGCGAAGATACAGTGAAATCCAGTCGATGTACTCGTGTACGCGCCGGGCGTTGCGCAGCCCTACACCTGCGGACACTGGGATTCGAAATGGTGCAAGGCGCAAACTTGAGTGCCGCGACTGGATTTCATTGAGCCGCCGGACTGGACATGCTTCATTTAGTGTAGTCTACGTGTGCACTGTCCTATGGTAAGAATTATTGTCTGCGAAGCCAGTTTTTTTTGTTTTTTGCTTTTTTAATATGAGGACAAAAACAAACAGCTGCTGAGCAGGGGCTGCACTGGGGAGCAGTGATGGTGAGGTACCAGGGGCTCCACTGACCAAAGGTCTCAGCTTCAATGCCACAAGCACGCACCAGGAAAAAGGAACAGAAATGTAAAGCAAAGCTAGATCTAGCTATGGGGAAGTAGAATGGGTAAAAGTACCGGTAGGTGTTTAGAAAAATAAAACAAGATGAAAAGAGATTGTAAATTATAAATTATTCGTGTTTGGACTGATGTACAATGTACATCTCAACTTCATCAACCAAAACTTATGAACTTTTTCAATAGATCTGATACGAAATTCGCACAAAGAAGTGTAAAGAAAACAAGCTAAAAAACAGAAAAATAATAATGCACCCAATTTAATAATCCAGGGGATGGATCCCGCCTGGTAAAAGAATAAACAGAGAGAAGAAAAGAATCATAACAAGTTTTTATGTACAATGTAAACTCCATTTCTCACTCCGATAAAGGTGTTGCTTGTGTGAGGAAACGACAATTGCCATTATTAGAGAGGTTCCGCATAACGTAATTACGTTAGTAAAAAACGTAGTCGATCTACTGAAAGTCTTACGTAAACTGCATGCGGATCTGGGTTCCGCCATACGGAGTTTTCAAATCACGTAGCTGCCCTTGGCAACTCCGAACGCGGCAGTGTACGACCAGATCGACCTGGGGAGAGAGTCATAAATTTGTACCCCAATCCACTTACGGACCAGCTACGTTATCAGAGCCCTATCTACGTACTCTCCGTAGACAACTTTCCGTAAGTGGAGTGCAAACTCGCGAATTCACGGGTTTTTCCCGCCCACTAACGTAAAGTTGCTCAACTTTACGTAGTGCGGAACCTCTCTAGTATCAAGACACAGTAGTATCATGTAGTCAGATTACACCACTGCATGTTGAACACAAGACGTTTTTCATTTGTACAATATTGTATTGCAAAAACGTTTCAATCAGTTTGAATATGAGTTAGGTAAAAGTATTTGCAAAGTTTTCAATTTATTGCGGATTGTTATTTTTCTCTCACTTCATCCACTTTTGGTTGGCTCCTTCTTTTCCTTTTATCTCCTTATAATCGGATTTTCTGGCCTTTTAGTAGTAAAACATTGACCTGTTGAGCCAATGAGGTAAAATTACATTCCATACAATACGATACAATACAATAATGCAAAAATGTCCTTACCTTGATAGTGTGCTTGTGCTTAACTGTTGCTGACTGTCGAATGCATGGTTGCCTGTGGAGCACTTTACATAACTTTACAGTCTCCTATAATACGCATCCTGTCCGACGGCAAAAGAGGCTGCAGATTTAGTTTTTCTGCGCGTTATAAGCAATGGCTACTGGTCTTCAGCAACTTGGGTCTCCTGTAATACGCATCCTGTCTATTATTATTATTATTATTATTATTTGAAAACCAGTGTCAGGACATCGAATGTTTCAGTACTCTGTCAGTTTTGTGCCTAGTTATTGCACTTTCTGACTGTATATAGTATCATGTTACAGTGATGGAGAGTTACTCTTAACTCGTATCCATATGTCTTTTTCTCTTCCACAATTATTATTATTAATATTATTTTTCCCGTTTGTCTCTTTCCCTCAAACCAGTTAGTATTATTATTTTTAGTCAATTTTTCTTCAGACTTTTCCCATTTGTCTCTTTCCCACAAACTAGTGAAGATGTTATGACTTGGGGTTCCCCGCGTGCTACAGTGTACGTGAAGTGTGTGGGTACAGTGAGGGCTGCGTCCCACCCGCCTGTGTGGATTCACAGGAAGTGTGAGCTACGAAGTCTGAAGAAAATGTTGAACAGTCTCTGCTGGGATGACGACTACACCATAGCTCAGTGGTTAGAGCATCGCTAGCTACAAGCGAGGGTCCCTGGTTCGAGTCCTGGTGGTGACAGTCAATTTTTTCTTCAGACTTTTCCCGTTTGTCTCTTTCCCTCAAACTAGTGAAGATTATTATTATTATTATTATTATTATTATTATTATTTTACAAGAAGTCGGAGGCGGATAATACTTTAGTAATGAAGGTACGTGTTGGGTCGTAAGTATCCACGCAAACACACATCCAGTCAAAATAAGGCACTTGTCAAAGTATCCGAACGTTTTCGGTCCCTTCTCATCAAGGATTACTATAAAAAAAATTAAGAAGAGCCTAAAGCACTAGTTGATGGAACTGGAATATAACTCTCGGTTTGTGAACACGCTGCTACAAGACACTGAGCAAAGGAGGCCCAGTGTCCAAGTTTGCCTCCATGGTGTAACGAATTTTACAAGAAGTCGGAGGCGGATAATACTTTAGTAATGAAGGTACGTGTTGGGTCGTAAGTATCCACGCAAACACACATCCAGTCAAAATAAGGCACTTGTCAAAGTATCCGAACGTTTTCGGTCCCTTCTCATCAAGGATTACTATAAAAAAAATTAAGAAGAGCCTAAAGCACTAGTTGATGGAACTGGAATATAACTCTCGGTTTGTGAACACGCTGCTACAAGACACTGAGCAAAGGAGGCCCAGTGTCCAAGTTTGCCTCCATGGTGTAACGAATTTTACAAGAAGTCGGAGGCGGATAATACTTTAGTAATGAAGGTACGTGTTGGGTCGTAAGTATCCACGCAAACACACATCCAGTCAAAATAAGGCACTTGTCAAAGTATCCGAACGTTTTCGGTCCCTTCTCATCAAGGATTACTATAAAAAAAAATGTGGTAGACCGCGAAAACGAACCTCAATATCGAGCACCGGACAAGTTGGAGTAAGAAGATCAATAGAAATCCGCAATGGAGGAGACGTAGCTGAAAGGACACTGGGCATCGCGCACACAACGGCTGGTGTCAGAAAACGTGGAAGGCCGCGGAAAAGCAAAGAGGCGGATAGTGGTGATGCCGCGAAGAGGCGAGATGACGGGACATTGGAGGAGACTACACCCAACGGAGCTAAGAATCGCACTTCGTCCATTAAGCAACATCTGTCAGCCCGTACCAATTGTCGTGAGTTGTACAGTGATAATGTGTTCTCAATATTGTCACGTGGTAGATGTGCGTTGCATCTGGCTGTGTTAGAAGCTTTGTATATCCGTAAGTTAGATCCTGAACTTTGCGTACAGAAAGAAAATGTGTTGTCGCTACAATTGTTTGGTGTTACTCCTCGTCGAGGTGTTAACAATGTAACTTAATTTGCTCACTATGTTCTTGTCGCTATTATTATTTCCTTCGAGTTTTGTGTCGTGCTGAACTTGATACTTTTTCCACCTTGTCACGAGTGTTGTTATCTCATATCTTTACGCTATATAAGTTTTAGTCTTTCCAACTTGAGCCATTCCCTGTATAATCCTTGATGAGAAGGGACCGAAAACGTTCGGATACTTTGACAAGTGCCTTATTTTGACTGGATGTGTGTTTGCGTGGATACTTACGACCCAACACGTACCTTCATTATTATTATTATTATTATTATTACTATTATTATTATTATTATTATTATTATTATTATTATTATTATTATTATTATTATTAACTGGTTTGAGGGAAAGAGACAAACGGGAAAAGTCTGAAGAAAAAATTGACTGTCACCACCAGGACTCGAACCAGGGACCCTCGCTTGTAGCCAGCGATGCTCTAACCACTGAGCTATGGTGTAGTCGTCATCCAAGCAGAGACCGTTCAAAGTTTTCTTCAGACTTCATATATTATTATTATTATTATTATTATTATTATTATTATTATTATTATTATTATTATTATTATTATTATTATTATTGTGGAAGAGAAAAAGACATATGGATACGAGTTAAGAGTAACTCTCCATCACTGTAACATGATACTATATACAGTCAGAAAGTGCAATAACTAGGCACAAAACTGACAGAGTACTGAAACATTCGACGTCCTGACACCTAGCTTTAACACATCTCCGTAGCGCTAACCGACAGCCTTCCAACTTGGAAGGTTCAAGGTTATGGAAAAGACCAAAGAGGGGAAGGCAAGCGCAACGAAAACGAGCAAAAGCCTTCCAAGTTGGAAGGCTGTCGGTTAGCGCTACGGAGATGTGTTAAAGCTAGGTGTCAGGACGTCGAATGTTTCAGTACTCTGTCAGTTTTGTGCCTAGTTATTGCACTTTCTGACTGTATATAGTATCATGTTACAGTGATGGAGAGTTACTCTTAACTCGTATCCATATGTCTTTTTCTCTTCCACATTTATTTATGGCTCAACATCCGAGTTTCAAATTATTATTATTATTATTATTATTATTATTATTATTATTATTATTATTTCAAAATTTTGAAGGACGCTTCACGCAGCTTCATTATACTTGAATTGTTTGCAGGCAACCTGCCTACACTCAAGAGAGCACTGCATTTCACACAAATCCATTGGTATCGTTACAACGTTTCGGTCTTTATGACCATCATCAGGAATGAAGTGGACATGGAAAGAACAGCAGTATAAAAGAAGGAGGCAAGCAAGCAAAGCGCGGTACATAGTGACAGCGCGCGTAGAGAAGTGCAAAGCGCGTCATGGCGGGTGTGCATTACTACATATACATGACAACACAAGCACAAACGGTGAGGAAAGTAGATACTGCGCTACAGCAGTGATAACAGCCCAGTTCCAGTCTCACACCACCAGTGAGGTGTCTAGAGCCCCGCGCCACTCGCAGTAAGGTGGTGATAGCACAACCTTACTGCGAGTGGCGC